TCTTGCAGTTCTTTTCAGAAACCTTTCAAATCTGCCAGCTACCTTCTTACAGAATGATTATTTAAATATACTGAACCATAACATGTTTAGAACTGGTCACACTAAAATGTTAATAACAACTTCTCATGACTACCACTATGATTAGTTTGTCTTAATATTCCAGAAGAACTCTGTCACATCAAAAAGCATATTAAGTAATACTTCCATTCACATATGCACTTTGGTTTCTTGGTATGAATACTTTTGAATACCTGCTTTGTGTAAACTATGTGTTAATAAAGTGAGATATTCTATAAAATTGACCTATCTTACCTTTTGCTGAGTGCAAATATACAAAGTTTTGCAAGTATCCCCATTTCAGAGACCAAAAAAAAAAAAGTTATCTACTGTTATGATCCACATGAGGATCATCTTCTTCTAGTAACCTTAAAGCATTTTTTACTTGCAGGCTAGTCCTGGTGAACATGTCTCAAGCTCCTAAATACAAGTGATTTACCTTCAAATATACCTAAATTTTGGTTGAACTGGAGAAATAGTAGCCATACAGCCTGCTGGTTATAAGGAGAATAAGAGATTGACATTAGAATATTTTGGTGAAAACTTATTCAACATACTAGTGTTTTCTATTTGTAAAGAATGCACTTTGATGAATCTCCAATACTACTGAAAGTAAATTATACAGTTCAGCTTTGTGTGCATAGGGTATCCACATACCAGCTGTCATGTTTTGAAAGATTAACAATATTTTATGTTGTTGTTATCCGTGTATATGAGGCATATATAAGTGAACATCACTAATATTTGAGAGAGATTTATGTCATGAAGAAGCTCTGTGGATTTTTTTTTAAAACATGTGGTCAAACAAGTCTCACCTTTCACTTTACTGTAACTGACAGATGATCATGAGATACCATAAAGATCTTCTAAAGATTGGACAAAGCCGTTTGTTTGGTTTTGTATATTAAACAGGTAGGTCTACCAGTAGTGCTATGGTAAAACTAAAAAGATGGTAATTAAAAGAATAGTGAATTAAAACACTTAGGACAGTATTAGGGAGTATTTTATCAAGCCTTTGATTAAAAATGAAGTTTGCTTCTATGTTTCTAAACCTCATTGGAGTCAACAGTGTATGCTCGAGTGTTCTGTTGAACTGGAACCTTTTATAAATCAAGATGGGTTGTTTGAATTTACTCAGAAGAGAGAATTTTAATATTCAATACTATCCATAGAAAATTTTCAAAAGCTTGACAACAACAGTCTTATTTAGCAGAACAAAATGATGTAATGGCAAAGTTGCTACTTAAAGCACAAGTGAGTATATATTTTTCCCAAAAGGATTTTGAGAAGCTTGAACATTCCATATATAAAGTATAGTTTGCATTTATAATTAATAGAACTGTTCCTATTAGAAACCTGGACAGTTTGTGATGGTAGTTTTAACTAATAGCACCACAAGAAAAATGCACTTGCCTCAGTGCAAATACATGAAATGTTAGATCAATTAGTACTTGAAGTACATAATGCACAAGAGTAAACAAGTGCCTGGAGAAGCAGCCTCACTACAAACTTATTTTGAGGGGAAAGATGGGAATCAACTATTCCGAATATACTAAAGAAGTATTCCGAATATACTAAAGAAGTATTCTTCTGTAGAGTATCTGTGTCATGGTTTGAGGTAGCCCCAAAATCCAGTTCTCTAGCTCCATCCGCCCTCCCACATCTCAACCTAATATGAGATGGGTTTTTCCAGACAAAACACAACCAGACTCAAAATGGGGGAAAGGGAATATATTACAATGACTGTACAAATAAATACTATAACACATTATACACACGATCACAACAATCTCTACCATGACATATAGTATTTACAACGGATCAGATCTCTTCTCCCCTCCAAATAAAAGTCCAGGAGGGAAAGAAGGACAGATCCCTTCCAGTCCCAAAGCAGGAATCTCTTCTAGGGCAGCAGGTCTCCTCATCTCATGCATGCAGCAGTAACTGGATTGTTGTAGCTGGATCTCTGTTCAATACACACAAGGGGGTCTCCAAGCCCCTCGGCTCTCCTTCAGTCCAAGCAAAGGCCTCACCTGTGGGCTGCCAGCAGGGACCAGACTCGCGTCACCACAGGTATATCACGAAATGCAGGGGCATCTTCGTGAAAGTCCCTTCCTCAGGGGATTCAAATTCCCCTTTGCAGAGCTCCGTGCACTGTCTCAAGGCTGCTAGCTTAGCAGCAGCAGTGAGGGGGGCCAAGGTCAACCCCCCCGCGTTCCTTCTCTGTCCCGGTCCAGCTTCAGGACGCCTTTGAGCTTCTCAGCTCCTCTCTACAGTGCATGCTGCACTTCAAGGCTCTTTCAAGTAAGAGTCCATCATCTTCCTCCCTCCAGGAGGTCTCAAAGGAGTTTGGGGGGGTCTAATATCAGTTCTTACCCCCAGAACTCCGTAGTTCTGCTGCTACCTTCTGCTGCTTCCTCCGGTTCAGTTCTTATCTGCTCTGGCTCTTGTCCAGAGTCTCTGGACACTGCCGCCGCTTCTGCTCTGTCTCTGCTCACTCACAATGGAAAACATCTCCCAGCTCACAGCTACAGACACATAGTCCAGCTTAACACTGTTCCAAGTCTCTGTAGCCCCCAACTGGGCTCCGGGCCCCTTTCTTCGTGGCTCTACAACAATGGCTACTTCTTGTACTCACCAAACTACAACTCTTCTCTTCCGGTGCTTGTGATATGTTTACATTTCTGCAGGAGCGCT